TGCCTGAAATGTTTTTCCTCTTTTCTGACTGTCCGCTAGATGACAGCAGCGAAAACAGATTGAAACAGCCAGTAATGGTCTTTCGGAGAAAACGATTTTGTCCCTCCTGCCAAACCCTCAGAGAGCAATGCAGTTAAGAAATTCGCATTATTGGCTCTTTTCCTGGAAATTACAGAGCCTTTTGCTTTTAGGCTTCCCGCCTACAGGCCTCAATAATTTACAAAAATACGTCTCTGCATTGTATGCAATGCACTTAAAGCAAATGTACTTGGGCTGGAAAAAACAGTTAAGTATTGTTGTTTTAATGTGAATAATTACTTCATAATGTCAGCTATTAGTCTTGTAAAATGCTCCCAAGTTCTTACTTTCATAAGCTGAATGGACCTGATCTCTCAGACAAGAACACCCATCTACCCTGAAACTGCAGCAAGCCAGGAGACTGAGTTCCCCTGTATATTTAGAGCAATTTTGCAATAGGGATACTCATTTTATGCCAATGCATTAAAATGCTGCTACACTTTTGCTGTTGGCTGCTCACCAGATTAAAGCAGTAAGCCATTTTACCTTGGGTCATCTAACTTGTTACAGTGCAAGGTAGACTAGGGCCCAAGTAGTTACGGCACAAATGAGATTTCAAACATGGGCCACGTGAGGAAGGAAGGAATTTAATGCGCTTGTCTTACTGTCACACTGTACTTGAAGATGAATCCATCTTGATCTGAGTTAAACCACCGCAAAGCTGCTGTAAGTAGGGCACGTGCTAGAATTCAGAGGGGTAATACACACCCTCTACCTTGGTCTTATTCCTGACCTATTCCAAAGCATTTTTTGTGTGAAGAGAGGTAGATCTGGTATAACGCCAAATTTCCAACATTTGTGCATCTCTGAGATTGTCTTGTGGGAGTGAGAGAGACGCCCATCTCAGTAGTGTTCATAGCCCCTTGCCCTAGTATAGAGGTACAAAGGGTTCGTAGCACTCGGAGTATTTTCTCAGAAAGGGAAGATATAACTTAAGTTTTTGTCTCTCTGTTCACTCACTTTTTATTTTGTCATTTTATCTCATATTTTCATCCTCGTGAATTATCCCAAGCTGTACGAACTTAACTGTCTGAGTGCTTTTAACATTTAATTTTGGTCCTTTCATTTACAAAGACCCTTTTTCACAGCATGGCTATATACCTTTAATCTTTTTAAGGTGTATTCTAATTCCAGTTTATACTCTAGTACTCCACCAATTTTGCTCCAGTTTTTGACGTGTCAGATTAAAAAAACATATTGGCACTCCATCTTTTGGGGTGACAGAGATGCTACATGTTCAAAGAACACGACACAGGGATAAAGAAACCCTGTCTCAGGTCTCAGTGAATTCTTTTGCTAGAAACTCAGCCATCTATTTTTTTTATTTCTTCTCTGAATAAGTGTAAGGAAACATTTAAACATTTAGGCTAGCTTTTTACTAAGTGCTGCATCATTGCAGCAATGCATTCAGCCATTAAGTAATGCATAAATTTTTGGTTTAGAATTCTTTGGGATATCTTGAATGCCGCTTTATCATATTTTTCTATATTCCAATAATAGCCATCATAAAATGATGAACAGGATGATAGGTGTTTATTAGAACAAATAGTCAACTGTTTGTCTGTACATACTATATGTACCATACCACACATACGGAGCCAAATCACTAGTCCAAAGAAGAAGGCACTAAAAAAAGTAGCATATTTATAGTTTTCTTTTTTAATTATACCCTTAAGGAGACATTCTGCTGCGCTCACACTATTTGTCTCTTTTCAGGATCAATTCCTTATGCTGTACAGGAACATTGTAAAATAGTGATGTCAAACAAATTGTACTTGTGACAAAAAATTGGAATTCAAATAAAACAAGGGAGGGGAATATCTTAATAAAAATATTTATTGAAAAAATTCCCATCAACATCATTTGGCTGTACTAAGTAAGAAAAACGCTGAGCGTGACTATGGTAATCAGGATGCAAACAGCTATTACCATGAGCAGGATGATTCGGCAACATTTGGAATGCTTTTTTTCTCTCTCTTTCTTTTTTAACAAGGTATCATACCCAGGAGTATAAATATCCCCCATCCAGAACTGTAGATCATTAGGATTTTCCTAAAAGAAAAATCAGAAAATGAACTCAGTTCCTCTGTCTTGCACATAAAGTCATTAGAACATAGCCAGAAGTATTTTGGCTATCATCAGATAGTGATTAATGAATTTAAGGCATCACAACACAAATTCAAGAAACATTCACTTGAACACAGGTTGTACTACTTGCCAGATGCTGCAAATGTTCCACTGGGGAAAATTAAAACCACAGTTTTCAGCCAGGAACCAAATGTAGGACACCAGCCGTTGAAATGTGATTAAAAAGTCCAGAAGAAACCATGTTGTCTTCTCAAGAAGAGATGTCGATTTATAAACACAGATCTGAGTCCCTTTCCAAAAAAGGGAACAGTAGAAAAAAGCTCACAAAAGTAACTCTAAAAGTAATTTGTGCCAACCCACAGGCAGGCAGAATCCTGCATAGTGTGGATGAGGCTGAGAAAATGTGTGTTATTTGGTAACAGAATGATGTTATGAACAGTTATTATAGTGGGCATGTAGTATTTAAGTGCCTCTTTTATAGTTCTTCCCTATACAAACAGGGAAGCTGAGTTGCGGAGTGTTGTGGTTTAAGACTTTCTCTAGATGCACAGGTTGTGTTCTGCAGAACTGAAATTCCTGGAGTCTAACCAGATACATAGAATTCTTTTCCTGATCAGACTCATGATAGTGTCATGTCTGTACTGGAAAATACGACCATATTTACTTCTAGAATCCCACCAAAAAGAGACAAGCGGGCTACTCAGTGGTTCATGCACACACCACACGGCTCATAGCAATTCACTTTGCTCAAATGCAGTGAACAGTGCGTTACCTTTATGTGGCTGGCCAAGTTAGAGTGCAGTGAGTGCCTGTCGTAGTCTTGCACGGTCCAGGAAGGGGTCTTTTTCTTCTCCTCCCAGTTGTCATCCAGCTGGGTATCACTATACAAGGGGTTGCTTTTGATTGTCGATTTCAGGGTGATGGGTGTAATATGTTTCCCAAGGGCTTTGTCTATCATTTCTTGACTGACCTTATTTAAGCCTAAGCCCGGCAGCTCGGTGACATTTCTCTTTTCTCTCTGTAAGGCACAAGTTACATCAGAAGCTGGCTTTCATCTTAATTTGCCTATGACATGGGTCCCCTTCCAGAGTTATCATTTGTAATACAACAGAATCATTTTTAAAATGTCACATGCAACAATTTTTCTCATTCTGGCAAACATCTACAGTACAGTAAAGGGAGCCTGACTGTTTACTCTGGGCAGATTTCTTCCTTCTGGGGAAAGGACGTGGGTACAATCTGAACATTAAACTCTTTTGCAAACGTGAACTTGCTTTATAACGCCTGCTGAAATAAAGCCTCTGCTTCAGCAAAACAATGCTGTGGAAGACTGCAGTAGAAGATGCAGTTCTGATGAACGCCACGGGCATACGATGCAGAAGCAGAGCTGTAAGTGCAAAGCAGAATGAAGCACATGGGTAATGGTGTGTAAGGGACTGCCTTGACTGGAGCTGCACCTCTGACAGCAGGGGTGTGATTCGCAGTTCTGCTGATGCTGTTGAATGTTAGACCCGTGTTAGGATGTCAGAGGCCCTTGATTCAACTGAGGGAGAGTCCTTACTTCGGGCACTGGCAGAACTCAAAGGTAAATAGATATCTGAGCAGTGTCCCAGAAGCAATAATTGTTAAATCAGACCTTTTAGAACAGGGGGGTGGCAAGGGAGGAGGACAAACAACCCTGGTGGCATCATATTTTTGGAGAACTCTCAAGCTGCTGCTTAACACAGCACTAAGAGCCTCTTCAGGAGCTGGTAAGATGGTAGTTACCACATTTTTCAATCTGTAATTGCATGGAGGAGTGCAATCAGACTCTCTAATTCAATCTGTTCAAGATTTTGGTTCACCACAGCCTTCTGTTCCCAAGACTTTGAATTAATCTGTCACCAATCTGTGGTTCTGGCAGTGCGGCGGCTTCCCGAGGGACTTGCTTCTGGCACAACCCTTGCCTCATGCTAACACCTGTCCCGTGTCTCAGGACTGCTTCTGCAGAACCATCACAGTGTAAATTCAGCTTTCCTCATCAGCAAACACCGCTTCCCCATTAGCACCTTTGTCCTTAGGAACTTTATGTTGAGATGAGGGGAGCCTTGGCCTGACCCAGTGGCCCTGCAGCAGGTGTGCTGGGAGAGGGGCATGCCTCAGCCCTCTCCCACCCTCAGAAATCACAAAGATGTGGGCAGCACCCACTGCCAGACTCCCAGAAGCTGAGTGCACTTCATAAACAGCCGGTGAAGAGGCAGGGACCTGAGAAACTTCCTTCCCTGAAAGGACATCTTTCTTGGGGTATTTCACTTGTATTGAGATCTCCAGCTGTTAAGGTGCCATGGGCTGGACGGACTTCAGCAGCTGAAGGGCTTGCTGCTGCTACAGGCATGTCCTGCTTCTCCTTCCACCTTTCTGGTGGGTTCCCAGGGGATCCCACCTCCTCCTTGACAGTGTCTCTGGGAGCTGCTCAGATCCCACATCGGCCAGTGCAGGTCCCTAAGCTGATTGCAAACTACTGGCTTCTTCTGCTTGAGTAATTTTCTGCCCCCTTTGTGGGCTGGTGAATCCACTTTCAGTTGGAAGCCAGCTGCTACATGTCATCACCTACTTTATGGCACAGAGCCTGGCATGCACATAGACATGTGTGAGTTGGTCTAGGGCAGGCAGGTGTAGAACGAAGCAGGAGGATTGATTTCCTTCAGAAAAAAAAAAGGTGGAGAAGAGAAAACAACAGCTTTTGTCTAAGAAACGCTAGGAGGAAACATCATGCTGGCATTCTTATCACTAAATCATGTACAAGTGACTCAGCGTGTTTCCCATCAATAACTACCATTAGTAGGTGGGTGGATTCTCAGTGCCCTCCCAGTCCCTCTGGTTCATAATTTCCATATGTCATTCCTTAGTCTTGACATATCCCCTGACAATATTACTTTTTGCATTGCAGTTACAGCTGGCACTGAAGTCCTCTGGGTTGTACTGGCCAGATTTCAGCTGAGCTGGTGTTTTTAACTGTTGTTTCTTTCTGACTGCATTTTATTTTATTTTATTTTATTTTATTTTATTTTATTTTATTTTATTTTATTTTATTTTGTTTTGTTTTGTTTTGTTTTGTTTTGTTTTGTTTATTACTTAAAATTTGTCATTGACCTTAATGATGCTTCCCTCAGGCTTGCTAGATAGTTGAACTTGGAGAACATTTTGTTGAAGAACACGAACTGTCTCATTGGGGATTCTTGGTCTCCGTAGGCTAAAATGTGAAAAGAATGTGACTTGACAGTAATTTCTAAAGCTGTTTTAAATAAAATGCTCCAAAACTTGGAATAGATGGCATGAGGCAAAATTTGTTCATAAAGAGAGTGCTTTGTAGCAAAACTTTTTGCCCCTTTTTACCTCTCTTTTCATGGGCCTGAGAAGAGGAGAATGTGGTAGCCTGGAGCAAAGGTAGAGAGGGAATAGGATGGAAGGAGAAACAGGCTTTTACTGTGAGAACTGGACTGGAATTTGAGGAAGGAGATAGTTTGCAGAAGTTTTAGAGAATAGCCATTGAAGTGCCAAGCTAATCAGGAGAATACACTTGAGTGCAGGCAAACACTTGGTTGTGAAACTTTTGCAGTAGATATGTCCCAGAGACTAGTTAGGGAAAAGGAAGGACAGAAGCCTGAAGCCTGAAGCACATTAAAAAAAAAAAAAGGTTTAGGTCCAAGAAATGATACGGAGAAATATGAAGAAGATTGCCTGAAACATATGCATTTATAGATGAAGAGAAACAGGAGATTAGATAATAAAAATATGCCTGCTAGTATTAATTCTAGCAAAAACTACATATTTTTTCTTTTAAGATTCAAAACATCTCCCAACAGTTTTCACAGACTTTTATGTTTTGATCCTGATTCATGAAGCAAATGTTCAAAGAAAGGGGAAAATATTGTAAACTTAGATATCCATATGCGGTAAAGAATTTATATGATATACACTGTGTTTAAGAAGCCAGTGTGAATGAGGGTGGAACAGATCAAATCACAGGCAATTTATGTTACTATTCACTGAATGGAAGGAGGCAACAGCAAATACGCAAAGCAGCAATAGTTATGAAGAACTCCGAGAAATTGTAGTTGAAATGTGTTGACGAAATACTCATTTAACAAGATGAAAAATGCTCAACGCTTCAAACACATAACTGTATTTGATCTACCTATAGCTCATAAGCAAGAAAGCTGTTATGGTTTCTAACTCGTGTTTCACTGAGAACAGTTTGTCCTGCTTTGACAGACCCAGAGAGCTGGCATGTACAAAAAGAGGATTCTGTAAAAAGCCTGAAGATCTGTAGAGAGTCAATGTTAGTTCCATCCCTGAGTCAACATGTGCTTTCTCCACAGGTTTTTCTTGCAGATTTTTTCGTAATGCAAATTATGTGTATAGGTACATACAAATTAATCTATATTGCTAGGAAACATGTTTATCTGATTTTTATCCTGACTTCATCCTTTTGTTCCGCTGTTGCCATTGTTGTTAGCACTGAAACAACCTGAAAGTCTAATCGTTCTTTCTTCAGTCTGTGATAGGAGACATCAAGCTAATTACCCACCAAAACCAGGACATCAACAATTAAGGCTAGGCCTTGGTCTCATGCCCATCTACCTGCAAGAAGAGATCAAAGATACACCTCAAAAATTAAGGAAGTCTACTTCCTGCAAGTCAAATTTTTCTTTACTCCTCCCCAAAGAGAGTTAGTTCCTCTTGTCCCATGGCCAGCCATGGTCTCCAGCTGCAGCCAGGGGAGATACTCAATGAAAGTTACAAATGCTGTTGATGGGCAGCTATGCCTAAAAGTTTCAACCAAGGGAGTCTTCAAGAAACCTAGGACCACCAGGTTCTGCAGGATTTGTTTTATAACAACCTCCTCAATCCTAATGAAAGTGTGTAGCAGGGTGATTATTGTATTTGCATGTAATTTGTTTAAAACTATAACCCTCCGTTACACAGAAGCCTTGTAACATACCCTGGAGGGCTCTCCCAGCACTTGGAAGGGCATTTTTCTGATGTAGAGACCGGTTTCTAAGACAGGCAAAAGGTCTGACAGACAAAAAGCTGTTAGGTAGTAACCCAAGAATCCCTGTGATAGTTGTAACAACTGAATAGGTATTGCTAGGCATTTGGTCAATAAAAAAAGCTCGTTTATCAGGATAAATAATTATTAGCTCTTTAGAATTTCCTGCACAATTCTGATCTCATAGAGGATGCTATGGAAAAGCAATCAGGAAGGGAAGGAGTAAACGAGGGTAGGTAAACAGATCTGAAAGGCAGTAGGGCAGACAACTCACAGCAAGAATTCCTGAGAATGCAAGTTTTCTTATCCAAGGAACTGAAGGGGATCAGAAATGCTTGTCAGAGACATAAGGCAATTATCAGGTACTACAAAGCAACCTGGGAAGCCACCTGACATGGATAAGAAGGAGATCAGTAGATGGTTATAAACACTTAAACTGGAGTGACAGGAATATTTAGAGAAATGTAGGCATTCCTACAGACTATTTTAATTGTGCAGCATTGAGTGTACTTTTGTCCTCGTAATGAATAGTTTACTTAAAGAAAGCTGTTTTATCTGTCATTGGTAATGGAGTTCTGCAGGGTTGTGAGTGCATTATATAAAAACTTTTGTATGGTGTCACACCAAAGCTCCTGCCAACCTTGCAGCTGGCTCTGATTATGTCCAGTTGCAGATGTCTAGGGAAGAATAAGGGAAAGTGTGGAAGTATGTAATGCACGTATGAGCCAGGGGACAAACAAGTGACTGTAACCCAGCACCTAACATAGATAAAAAAAAATCTCTTGTCTGGATACACTAAGAAACAAGCAAAGGTAGGAGGTATTAGCTCAGATGAGAGACCAGGAGGGGTCAGGAGTGCAGTTAGCATGATAACTAGAATACCTACAGGTCAAAATTTGCTCGGAGTTGTGAATTCCTAAGCAAGAGCAGCATGACAAGAAGTAGCACAGTTTTCAAAGACCAAATACTCTCTGCTGTCTTCCAGAAATAGGGAAAAAAGGGAAATACAAGCAGGAAAAAGAAGCCTAAGAATTGCAGAAAATGACCAAGTAGACTACGGGGGAGACATGCACCCTGGGTATCAGAAGCAGATATAGAGGATTAATCATCAGGTTTGTGCTGAGCACAACAACATATTGTGGGAGATAGTCAAGCGGGACTGGAAATTTTCAGGGCAACCAGAAAGCCATCAATAGCTAGCTATTTGCAGGAGAAACAGTCTGTGCTTTTCATGCTGCTTTTCACAAGGAAGGGCCAAGATTCCTGGACTGCTTTATGGTTTGTTTTATTCAAAGTAGATGATGAAAATATACACTAAGCAGGGAAGCTGTTCAGGTTGCCTGTTACAGAAGAGGAAAGTAAGGAGAAAGAGAAGCAACTTTTTGGTCAGCAATAGGAACTGTCATTATGTCAAGCTGCTTTTTATAATGGAAATAAATTTAAAATCTCATAGGTGGAGAAAACACATAAGCACTTAAGTGCACTTGAATTTAAATGATCACATAATAAAGGTCTGGAAGAGACCACAAGCACGACACTGAGAAGTCACTTTACACAGCGAGCCCTGAGTAGCAGTAGTTTCTTAAAAGAAAATGAATTTCTGAACAGGGAATTTAGGCTACTCTCAAGGTTTAGTGACTTTAGGAGTCTGTAGGACACGCACATATGTTCTGAAATGAATTCTTTTCCCTCCACCCCCCCCCCCCCCCTCATCTTAAAGCAAAACATGTTATTCCTGCGCCATTAGTTCTCCACTGTGCCATCGTGTTTATTCTAATGTCTGGAACTCATCAGTTCTTTTCCCTTTATTTGATTGTCAGCAAAAGGGAAAAAAGGAAGGGAGCTCATAAGGGAGAGAGAATAAGGCACAACGAATTTTTTCTGGACAGCTTGAATTCACTAATGAATACACTTAAAAGTATAGGTTGTGTCCTAGGTTTAACATTTATAAAACATACCACATTGCAAACTGCATTTCTGGAGACATAGTGAGCACAGACATTTCCTTTGAAATGGCCATCCTGGGGCTGGGAACAGAGTTCCAGGAAAACCCTCTCACTGGTGGCGGGGGGCAGAGCACAAATCGAAAAAGCACAGGGCTCCCCACACATTTTTAATCCTTCTGCATCTCTGCTGCCCTGGCTCGTTGACAGTGTGTCCTGTTAAACGACAATAGGGAGAAGGATCCCTGCTGCGGAGGAGGCTCTGTGTGTGGCTGCCTCCCTCCTGCACAAAAGAAGGGCTTATGTGGGGTAGGGAGTGAGGCCAGCATTGCACCATACCCCATTGTTTGGGATCCCGCAGGCTCCTTCCCTTGGTTAGGGCTCTCTGCATGGGAGACAACGGGCGACCGTGTGTCCCTCCCTCTCAGCTCTCCTGGGGAATCGCCAGCAATGATTATACAATACGAGCAGAGGCAGCTGGAGGCATTGGGGTAGGCAGAGGGGACGGTGTCTGGGGTGGGAAGGGGCTAGGAAAGTTAAGGGGGGGTCATGGACGCGGGTGTCAGGAGGGGGAGGACTTTTGTGTGTGGATGAGGGCTGGAATGGACCCTGGGAGGGAGCAACGGGGTTTGGGGGGTCGATAGGGAGAAATGTCTGAGAAGGGAGAAATGCAACTGGAAGTAGCTGTAGGACCCCCCCGCCCCAACTGCTTTTGTGTGTCTCCATCCCTTGACAAGAACCAGACCTTGGAGCTTTTGCTCATGCTAGGGGTGGGGAAGGCGAGGGGCTCCCTGGGCAGCAGGAAAGGAGCGCTGTGGAGCAGCAAGTGGGGCCCAGAGGGGTGTGAGCTGATGCAGCTGTACTGCTGCTGATCCAGACATGAACTTCACTGCTGCCGACTCCAGGGCCTCTGCTAGGCAGCACACATTTACATCTTCACCAAGAAACTGCCACTGCCTCTATATAATAACCTGGATTAATACAGTTACTGTGTTTCACACTTTCAAAAGCTGTCTGTCAGGATAACAGAAGGTCAAAGTAGGATGAGGGAAACGAGGCAAAATAAAGAGGAAGCTACAGTGAACTATGTAGATATATATAAGCTCACAAGACACTAGCAAGAATCTCTGATGCTTTCTCTAATGTGCCTTTTCAATGAGTTTGAGGGATATGGCCTGGCTTTCAGGTTTAAGTCTGGGGTTTGCTTATTTTGCCCCTTTAGTACAATTAATCAGTATGTGACATCACTAGACTTTCTGGGAAATGCTATGAAAATGTTACAATGAGCAGCAGGAAGCCTAATGTACTGAAATAAAGTCAGTGGACAAGCCCTGAGGAGAGTGACTCTTCTCCTGGAGCCTGATCCTCACTGAAGTCAATGGGAAAGCTTACCCACATGTTATTTGTCTCCAGATCCCCAAAACGAGGTAGAAAAATCAGGAAAAATGTCAGCCTCTTTTGGACCTTACCTGTAAATAGACCCTGTTGTGCCACCGCTGCACGCCAGGTAAAGCTGCTTCTGGGAATTTTGCCAGGCTGGCTTGTAGAAAGGCAGAGTTTTTCTCTAGAGACTTCACCTCCAGTTGCAGGAATTTATCAGGATGGTTGTTGTTTGGCAAAACGGAGAAGTCCATGTTTCTGTCCTGTAGAGTAATAATGAAAACAGCCCCAGCTTCTGCTTCCTGGCTGTGCACGCTCCTTCTATTATTAATGACATGAAGACGGATACGACAGTTTCCTGAAACTGTATCTGCCCCCTGGTTGGTGTCAGGCTCACTTATATCATCTACCAATGATAAAAGATTGTTTAGAAGTGGCAGAGCAGACAAGACATGTTTCTGTAAGTGTCTAGCTTAAGTTTTCAAGTTCAAGGTCTGTTTTGATAGACACATATGTGCTCATTAAAGCTAACAGAGTACCAGTGAGTAGATGCGTGAGACACTTAAATGCATACCAGCACTTCCTCAAGTGACCTGCCAAAAATGTCAAGCTTACAATACTTCAAAGCAAGCTTGTTTCACAGAAAATTAGAAGCAGGTCCCAGCGCAAAGCAAGTCCTTCTTTTCTGTGGCAGTACTAAGAGGCTCCATTGTGCTGTGTGGGTCAGTACTGTTTACCACGACGGCTATGACATCCACTTTTTTAGGTTCAGGGATTTCTTTCACAGTAAATTCTTCTTGACCCTGGGAAATATTAGATTGTTTCAAGTAATTGATAACAGAAGTTTTCAGGGAATTGATTCTGCTCCTGTTCAAGTGAATGGAAAAAACTCTTACTGACTTGAATGGTGTAGTCTCAGTCCCTTCACTTTTATTATTTTATTTTGATATTTGATATTTTCATCATCATTTTATAAGTCTTAAGTTCTTTTGACTTTCAGCTAATGAAATTCCCCTTCTCATCATGGCCATTACTTACAACCACCAAAAGTAGTCTCCTTGTTTTTATTTTAACCTTTTTTTTCCAAACCAGTCTGTTTTTCTAAGATACGTTTAATTTTTTATGACACTGCCAGAGAGGATAGGTTTTTGAAAGTTCATTGTTTGAAGTCCAGGAAAACCTATTTTGGATCAAATTAGTGCTGAGAATTAGGGCATCACAAAAATTTTAGCCTTGTACTTAGACCAGAGGATCAGACCAGACTATTTTCCTTACAGAAGACTGCTGAAATTTAAAACAAAAATAAAACCAGTAAACTATTTTTTTAAGATGTTACTACTGCAAGATCCTAATGTAATAATTGAATACTTTGATATACAGATAAGTTAAAACCCTTACCTACTTAGAGCTCATGATTTTTCCTTGCATGTATTTATTGGCAATTTTTTTAACAGCATATCTGTTAAAAATTATTAATATGTTGCCTTTCAAGTAGATACTCAGAGTATTTGTGAGCAGCCACAGAAGAGACAGTAGTGAGTTCTGAGTGGACGTGCATGCTTCTGGGGAGCCTGCTGCTACATTTATAATTGTTTGTCCACAGTGTAATGAAGCCCTGAAACACTAACACACCTTTACAGTGTACGCTAAGGGACTACCATGAAGCTGCTGGTTTAAGCTTACCATGAGATGTGGTCCCCCTTTTTCCCTGTGCAGAACTAAGACAGTAATAATTTGTGTTCTAAAATAGCTGGATATGTACAACCATGCCTGCTTTCTTACACATATATACCCTTTCCAGTGTGTCTCCGAACACAGGATTCTTACGTGCTATGTAGCATACGATGTGGTGTGCATCTGTGTGAATTTACTTATCGACACTACTTTGTTTCATTAGACATGACGGAAGAATGTAAAAAACGTCTCACTAGGTCAGATCCCCCAAGCCCAGGACCTATCACTGTGTTTGAAAAAGGCAAGAAGAGATGCTGTTTAGGGAGACTGTGTGCACCTGGCTACTTTCTGCAGTTCATTCTCCTTTTAGTCCCCCCGAACCTTAAAGGAGGTTGTAATGAGGTGGGGGTCGATCTGTTCTCCCTAGTAACAAGTGATAGGACGAGAGGAAATGGTCTCAAGCTGCACCAGAGGAGGATTAGGTTAGATATTAGGGAAAACTTCTTCACCGGAAGGGTGGTCAAGCATTGGAACAGGCTGCCCAGGGAAGTGGTTGAGTCTCCATCCCTGGAGGTATTTAAAGAACGGATAGATGTGGTGCTTGAGGACACAGTATACTGATATACGGATGGGTGCTAGGTTAACGGTTGGATTCGATGATCTCAAGGGTCTTTTCCAACCTTAACGATTCTATGATTCTATGATTCTAAGCCACAAAATTTTTTGTGCTAGAATGTCTCTTCCCAAGCCTTTTATTATCTATTCATGGGCTTGTTGTTCATGAATTTGTCTAATTGCTTTCCAAATCTTCTGATACTACCTCCTCTAGAAGCAAGCTTCAGAACGTCATAACCATCTGTCTCAAGTGCATACTTTTGTGTGTTTTAAACTAATTTCCATACTAGTTTCATCAAGGATGCCTTCTTTGTTGTACTGCAGGATTTTAAGAACAAGAGCTCCAAGCACAGCTTATCTATCAATTACCTTCAGAATTTTTTAAATGTTGACCATGCTCATCTCAGCCTCCTCCTCCAACCTGAAGTATTGACTGTTTCAGACTCATCTCATAAGCCACCTGGTCTATCCCCTTGCTCATTTATTTGCCTTTTTTAATGTGTTACGTCGTAAGTCCACTACATTGTCCATGAGAACACAGCAACCATAAATGAATGCAATACTCAAGCTGTGGTTACACCACAGTTCAAAAAATGGAAAAAATGATGCCTTCTCTTCTGACAACATCCATCAGGTTTTGCCTTTTTTTCCTGCTATTCTCATAGAGCTAATAACTTCAGACTACAGTAATCAATGACACTATGATTTTTCTCCACCTCTCTGACTGCCAGTTGCAAGTTCAGTATCTTGTAGGAATAGTTTAGGCTATTTTCCATAGCTATACTACCATACATTTACCCACATCAAAGTTCATTGGCTAACATCTTGCCTAATCACTCAGTTTTGTGAGCTTCTTGAAAAGTGAGGGAACAGTTGGTTAACCACAGGAGCTTAATGTCATCTGCAGAGCTGCAGATCTCAGTTTTTACTCTCTTCCTCATACCATTGATGACAAAGTTGAAAAAAACTAAAGCCAGCATCATTCCTTGGGGAACCATACTGCTGACTCTTCTCCATGCTGAAGGATGACCATTTTGCTTCCAACCCTTTAATCAGCTTGAAAGCCATAAAGATTGCTCCTGTAGTCCTGTGTGAATGTAGTTTCTTGAATATCTTGTAATGTGGAACCTTGTCGGAGACTTCTGTGTCCATCTGATCCTCTTTGTTCAGGACACAACTGAAGCCAAGCTGACTCTCTCCCAACAGCCCATTCTTATCCAGTAACTCAGGATCTTAATTCTTTTTTATTGGCTTTTATGGCACCAGAAAAGGAACTCAAGATGCCTTGTCTGTAGTTCAAAGGATCCCCTAAAGAAGTCCTTTTCCACAGGCAGGAATTACACTGCAATCTGCCAGTCCTCTGGTAGAGCGGCTGTTTGAAATTACAGTTTATGGACCATGGCAAGCAGTTCTGTAACTTCCCAGTTGTGGTCTTTGAGGAATCTCACATGACTGCCACCCTAGATACCTATTCTCTGACATCTCTGCTATAAGGAACATGCAAGGTATGAGAACCCCTGCAAAACATTTCAGCTGGAAAGACCAATGCAAATACTTCAGTGGACTTCCCTTTCATAGCTCTATCATCCCCAAGTATCCCTTTGACACCTGTGTTATCAGATGGTTGCACTGACTCCCTACCTGGCTTCCTGCTTTTGATGTATTTCAAGTCCCTTTTACTATTAGTTTGAGCATCTTTTCTACAGAGCTCTTCAAATTCTTTCTGAGCACTCTTAATTTTCTGTTTACAATTGACCTGCTAAGCTTTAAGGCCTCCATTGGTCTCCTCACGCAGGTAAGCTTTCAATTTTTAATACATTTTTAGAATAAGCAAATGGCTGCTTCTCTGTCACTAAAGACGACAATGAAAACTGAATGAAAAAAAACCAAACTACCCAAAACCTAAACCACATCCTCCAGAACAAAGCAGCTAATTCCCCCCAGAATAAATGACCACACAAAATTTAGGTATTCATTTTGTTTAAAAAAGGTATGAGAAGTGATAACTATTGTAACTTTTGGTCACTGCTGTAGCTAGTGAGCATGTATCTGGGAAGAAATAAGCCCCACTGCGCACTAGCCTAGCACAAACCCTCTGCGCCACTTAAATGACACTTAATCCAACAAAATAGAATCTAAGTGGGATTTAATTAGCAGAGACGTCTACTCTAGTCCTTGTGAGCTGGAGTGAATTTCACCTTTACTTGTCAGCTGAACTTGATTGATTTGACATTCGTTGGTTGAAATTTTACATATTCATCAGGCTGGATGGAAAACATATTAATGAAGAGGGATAGTTGCTGAGAATGTCTATGAGTGCAGAAGACTATTGCTTCCCTGAACACAGCTGGAAAAGGCTGCCTGCTGTCACCTGGGCTGTGGCAGAGCTCTGCACAGCAGGCACACGCATGCCCACCCCCACAGAGTGCTGGGACTCGGGCCACAGTCTGGGGACGTTCTCAAAACGTTCTTATCATTTTCTGACAAAACAGGTATTTTGGTCTGTGCTGCTTCTCTGAATGATGATAGAGTGTATCAAAGCAGTAAAATTAACTTGCTTTCAAATTCATGCAGAGAAGGCAGAGACATTCTTGCTATGTAGACACAACGCTGCTTCAAAATGATTCACACACATCTAACTAATAGTTTGGTACTACAGATGCCGAAGGCATCAGACCCAGAGCTATCAGCATTATAACATCCTGATTTCACTCATTAAATTTAAAAGGAATGTCATTTTATTGTGCAACTTCCCATCCCTGGTTCCCATCCAAAAGTCTTGTCTTTTATGATGTTCTATAAGGGTGATGGGAGGATGATTTCAGCCCAAGTCACTCACCTGTTTCCAACAGATACAGGCAGAGTTAAAATGTACTTTTCCATTTTGAGGTAAAGCTGACATTCTTGTTAGTGGAATATTCAGAAACAGCAGAGCATCAACATTCAGAATTGTGCTGATGGTATCATTGCCTGATAAAAGACTGTCCTCTGGCCCCTAGTCTGGAGGCATCTTTCCTTTTGCTTGATTTTTAGTTGTTGTGATTGAAGCGAGTACGGGATTATTAGCAGGACTGGGTACTAAGTAAGTATGAAGAAAATTTAAAATAGTGATTGTTTCTTTTGCCTGCCAGCTACAATAATTCTATTAGACTTTCAAATGTGTGGCTATGACATTGAGGAGTTATGCCCAAGAGCAACTGAATTTTCTGTGCACTGAAAGTTTTTAATTATACAAAATATAATATCACATTCCATGATGTCAGTTATTTTTCTTTCCTTCTTTACTTTTTAAAACAAGAAGATACTTAATTTAAAATCATATATTAGCACATCATTAAAGTTGCAGTTTTTGAATGCACAGCAGTAAGATGCCAAACCAAAGATTTTGACAATACAGCTATTTGAAAGCACATACGTTTATTTCAACAGGAGTTAAGACTGAGGTCAAGTACTTTTCCTAGACAGAGTCACAGTCCTGATTGGGAGCCTCAGTTTATTAAATTGTGTGGATATCTACATCACATCTATACAGTAGACTCTTTGCAGAGAATTAAAAGGAAAAATCACTCAAATAAAGATGCATTCCCTTTTTGCTTTGAGTAGAAAATATTATGCCTTTCAGACTAATTTCTCTGGCTGTCTTGCCTTCAGGGTTTGCTCTCCTACATATTTTCAGAGCATGCCTAAAGGCTTGCATCACAAAATGGAGGCAGAGGACCTACCCCTCTCCTCTTGCTAAGTTCAGTGGTTACAGAACTCACCTGAGATAAATAACTTCTTCTCCACTGACTATTACTCTGTTATACCCAACTTTCCATATATCAAGGCTCACAGAGTAGCATGTCTGCCTGCAGCTGCAGAAAAGTGCCTAAGTCAAGAGGCAGGAGTCATTTGCTGTAGGGACTACGGTAGCTGTACCTGCTGCGATGCAGGGCTCCATGGATTCGGCTAGCGGACATGGATGACCAAAGCAGGAAAAATGCAAATAACAAAAGAAGCTTTACTTTTTATTGAAAATGTAAAAATCATGTGAATCATGTACAATATTTTCTCATAAGGAAAATTTTAGCTGTTTCATAACGTTTCACAAAACTGTAAAACATTTCATTTTTATACAGACTTTTTCATAAAACAAAGATAAAACTAAAGTAGTATTACAAAGCTATTTTCTAAATTGTCAACAGAGAACTGAAAATGTTTAACAGATTAATTCATACAAGTGGCAGGAGGAAGGACTCTTCCATTTGTAAATCTGCAAGAGGACACACAAAGGTATAGACGGGCATGGGTTTTTTGTTTCAAAACGTTTAAAATCAAGTGACATGTTAAAACAGTACAGACGTGAATTCATAGGATGGTACAAGTTCTAGGACTGCATTTCTCTACACTACCTCAAACAGTGCAACAGTGATTCAGTGTAAACCTCTACAGTGTTTCATTGATTCAATACTTGTGTTCAAGTATGTGTCCATGAGAATGATCAAAATCCCTACTTAGCTATTTTAATTTTCTTGTTTATAATATGTTATAAGTTACAGTAGATTATCCCCTTCAGTATGTTGCTAAATCAAATGAACTGATTTCACAATACATTCTGTAATAACCTGCTCAATAATGTTAGCTTACTCACCTCAACATCTGTTGCAAAATACACAAGATCATTCTGACTCTGAATGCCAAAAATATAATAAAATTAAAAAGGGCTTTATTTCCATATATAACAAAACTATTCAACTAAATTAAAATAAATTCAAGATAACATGACTTTTTTTTGGCAACAGAGAGACGACCCTACTGAAAATAAACATTTAAAATACTAGTTACTATTTTTTAAAAATTCTGATAAATGTATCCAAAATTGTTCATATAAAAATTAATTATGAAAATGTCAGAGGATAAAACAAGTTGGCTGTCTAACCATAACAATTAAGGATGTCTGGCAGGCAAAAATAAATTAATTTGATTAAATTATATGTAATCTGATAATATTTGGTCTGAAGAAGCGTGCGTGTGTGTGTGTACGTGTGTGTGTGTGTTTATAAATAATAAGATTGCAAAGAGCTGAGAGCCAGCCAGCCTGACAGAGGTCAACTCTTTTGTTGCATTTTTTGCGCATAAAAGTCCCTGCACGTCTCACAGCACCGCTGATACCACCTCATGTCTTGACAGAGGTTCTTCTCTCTTATCACTCTGCAGTACACAGGCCACTGGTCTCCAAGGCATTTGAATGTTAAAGCAGCTGTGAAACAACAACAAAACCAAATATACATTACTGTTACATTTATTAGTGAAGAATCAGGTAGCAAAGGTGACAAGGACACCAGAAGAGTATCTGGGGAAGGGAAAGGAGAATAGTTGTAGATATTCAACAGAAGAAAGTAAAAAAAAAAAATCCTCCTGCTGTCAATATTTTTCAACATTACAAGTTTTTAAGGCCAGCTTAATTTATGAATTGGATTAAGTTGCATTGAAACTACTTGGTTTAATGTCATGCAGCTGTCTCCTCATGAGAGAGTGATGCTCATCTTTCAGCCCTATAGAGAGGCGGGCTGGGGCCAGGGCCAGGGCCACGCGGAAGAGCTGCAGAGCCAGCTCCAGCAAAGCCACACAAAGCAGCAGCTCCAGCTGAAACTGCCCTTGGTCTGAGACAGAAGTTGCCACTGGAAAAACAGGAAGACTCAGCTTGAATAATACCAGAATGGAGTTCTCAATGACACCTGTAAGGGGATTTTTTCATTGTTACAGGCAGGGAGGGAAATGTAGGAATTAAAGCATGGAGACTGCTGCTGGTTTTTTGATCAGCTTTTGCTCAAGAAATCAAGACTTTGTGCCACATTGTCAATGAATGGAAATTGAACAAAACTACATGATGGCTTCTTTGTTCAAAGGAACAGAAATATATTGTCTTTTAGCTCAATTGCTACAGATGCCACACTATGAGGCACTCTTACAAGGTTTGAAGACAGTTAGCAAGTCCCATGGTACATTTCGTAATGGAAATCTATTTTATCTATAAAAACGAAACTTAGAGTACGGAATCAATGACAGTTGTTATGTTGGCAAATACACTTGTCCAGGTCCAATTATTGCATTTTGTGCTTCTCAAATGCACAAATACTGTGCATTTCTTACCTTCCTGACTTTTTTCTTTCCTTTCCAAGTACATTCAAAATGTTTTTCTTTTTAAATTATCTTCCAATACATTGGTCTGACTGCATCACGCTCTTTTTAATCACTCCTCCATGTCAAGGTCAGGCTATTAATCCTTACCTTCACATCTTTCATGTCTTATCTTCACCCTGTTATTCAGGTTGATCTATTAGTAGTCTGTTCCTGCTTTCTAACTGTGGGAGTCCCTGACTACCGAATTCTTCCTCAGAAACCTAAAATGACAAGGACATCACCTTAACCTGAAAAGCTGCTGTTTCATTTACTCTACCTTCTCCCACGGTTGTTATAAGTATTCGGTTCTCTCTAGCAGTCATAAACAGTCAGATGCAGAAGCCTGACTTTTGTTGTATTCCTGTTGTACAAAACAGGCATATTTTCATGCATGTGGTCTTTTTTCTTGTGAAGCCATCTGTTAATCCACCCACCTGTTTCACTTATGAAAGTGCACTTACAGTGCTTATCATAGAAGGACCCTGGTACCAAATTTGGGTCTTTGCACATTCAGTTATTCAAGCTGTAGTGCATACATGGAATTAATATGAGAAAACAGTGAAAAACAGGGCACAAGAAAAAGACAACATCCAAAAATCATCATAAACACTGAACGGAAAAAAAAGTAAATCTCACAGATTTGAGTTACTCTCCTT